TCATGTACTGTGGGGTCGGAACAGACTCATAACTGGCTCTTCAGAAGTTTTCAGAAGCAATAAATTGCACAAGAGGAGACTGATGGATTTAAACCGAGTGCTGAAAATCTTCTGAATGCCATTATTGAAACTGGCCAAATATTGGGGGTGGGGGGGAAACCTAGAAAATGAAAGGAAGAGTTATTCTCAGCCAGATAAGTACCTATTAATCTATTCCATTAAATTGATTATTGGAAAGTAGAGACAGCAGCTATTAAAAATAGGAGTAGAAAGAAAGAATTCATTTCATGCTCTTAACTGTTAATGGACACATTTATTTAAGACAACTTGAGTGAAAACATATTTATACCATCTTAATAGTTAAATGGCTCATTTATTTACATTTTGGTGATCTGAGGACTGGGGATGAGGCTGGTATTTTCACAGAAAAGATATTCCTACACAAACAAACCTTAGAAGTTCTATATACCATACCAACGAAGAGAAGATAATCGAGCTCATGAAAACTCAGAGTAAAGAAAAATGGGGTGAAATGACCATGATTATTTAATTTAGTGATACATCTCCATAATTTTAATTATGAAATAATGTAACATAGTGTTCCTTTTATAGTCCAATAAATGTGATGGAAGGGGAAGGTTACTTCTTAAGATTGAAAAAAGAAACAAACCAAAAACCAAGTGCTGAGTGGGTTTGGAGTGGAAGCACAGCTCTTTCCCGCTGAGTCACCAGGGCTCCCTCAGTGGAGAATAAATGTAGTTTTTAGCAACTTTTGCAACATAGGAAGGAGGAGGAGTAAGAGAGATATTGCCAACAGACCCACCGTGTCTGGAGGGGTAACTTGGAAGAGAATGAAAGGGTAGGACCAGCCTGCAAGGAGGGATGGGGTACACATGGGGTGCTGAAAGGTGGAAGAGGAGCACAGCCTGGGTGCTGAGTGCACTGGGGAACACGGCAGAGGCTTTAAGTAGATGGGGCCATGGCCTGATTTGCATTTCAGACTGAGATGAGATGGGGAAGAGTCAGGTGGAAAGGTCCAGGTTGTTTCAGAGTCCAGGCCAATAGTGACAGTGGCTCACACCTGGACAAGGGCAGTGGGCAGACTGGTGCTGGACAGAACACGGACACAGGGGCAGAGGGAAGGATGCCTGGGTAACAGAAGGGTGGAAGGGCGACTTCCTGGAATGAAGACACAGGTGAAGGAGGTTGCAAATTTGAGCTTGGATCCTTGTATCTGATGAGCAGTCCCTGTACCTGTGGGGTGGGTGAGGAACTGCTGGGAATGGAAACCAGGCGAGACCACAGGGGGTGCCAGAGAGAAGGGGCAGTTAGAGCAGCCCAGAGCCAGAAGGGCAGGAGGACAACGAGGAGTGCTGGCAGGTGGGAAAACCAGAGGGGACAGCAGGCCTTTCCTCCCTTCACCCCCCCCCCACACCTTTGTTGTGGACTAGAGGATTCAAACTGAGCACCTTCATAATTGCAGCACAGTTTCTTGCCATTAGGCGACGAGAGCTCCCTAGGACAACAGGCCTTTCTAGCTCAGGTGGTTGTTGTCGTTAGGTGCCATCGAAGGGAGTACGACTCATAGGAACCCTGTGAACAACAAATCTAAATCCTGTCCTGTTCTACGTGCCATCCTCATCATCCTTGACACACTCACATCCATTGCTGGGGTCACTGTGTCAGTTCACAATGTGATTGAGGGTCTTCCTTTCCTTTGCTGTCCCTCTACCTTCCCAAGCATGATGTCCCTTTCCAGGGAATACCCTCTTCTAGTAACAAGCCTAAAGTATGTGAGGCAAAACTTCATAAAGTATGCTTCTCGGGAACACTCTGGACACACCTTCTCCTAGACATGTTGTTTGTTCTTTTGGCAGTTCATGATATATTCAGCACTCTTTCTCCAACACCACAGTTCAAAGGCATCAATTCTTCTGTCACCCTTCCTTATTCATTGTCCAGCTCTCAGATGCACAGCAAGTGACTAAAAAGATCATGGCCTAAATCAGGCGCACCTTAGTCCTCAAACTGACATCACTGCTCCTCAATAATTTGAAGAAGTCTTTTACTGAAGACTTTCCCAGGCCAGACAGGAGCAAATGCCTCGTCCCACCAGAGCTCTCCCTCCGCAGAGGAGGGGGAAGGACCCGAGGGCGCGGCGTGGCGGCCTGGGCGGAGCGCTCGCGTTAGGACCCAGCGGATGCGATGCTGGAGGCGGGCGCCGGCCCGTCGGGGGCCCGGAGGGGGGCTCCGAGCGGGCAAAGGGGCGGCTCTGGCGGGCGGACACGGAGCGGGCGACAGGGACCCGGACAGGTATGCGCGGGCCTGGCGGCCCACCGGGCAGGGGACCCTGGCGGGCCTGCGTCGCGGGTGGGGCGTCTGCGGACCCCCAGGGATAGGGAGCCTGGACCCCGATCTTGCAGGCTGTCTGCTGGAGGCCTTGAGCCTGGCACTTTCTGAGCGGGTGCTCAGCGGGCACTTGGAAAACTTGGAGTCACTTTGGGGGAAGGGAGTAAAGTGAGATGGAGAGGAGCCGGAGTTTGGGGGGAAAGCAGAAGTGGGGCGTCGGGGAATGGCTTTTGTTCTCCCTGGGAGGGTGGAATGTGGGGGCGGTGAGGGCAGCTGCTGAGCGGGAGCGTCTGGACAGAGACTCAGAGAGAGACAAAGAGAGATCAGAGACGCGGGGCGCAGGGAGCGCGCCCGAGTGTCCGCGCCTGATTGTTCCCAGCTGTGCGCCGCTGCAACATCTGGTTTCCTCCTGGGCCCCCCCGTCTGGCCTCTGGAGCGGGCAGAGCCCCGCCGGCCAGCCGAGCGAGTGTGGGTGCAGAACTGGCTGATGTAGAAAGAGGTTTAAGGGAGTATGCTGTCACCTTACACCCCCCCAAACTCCCGGAGTCTGGAAGTGCTTGGAGATGCGGTCCCCTGGTACTGCCATCCTGATTTTCCTTTTTATGGCCCTCGCCCCTTGTCCTGGGGGCCCCTCCCCTGCTAAGCCTGGACCTTCTGGGTCAGGAGAAGATTTCCGTGCAGGACACTGAGAGGTACTAGCGGGGGTTCTTTGGGGGTAGACAGGACCTCCAGGCTTCTGAAACCCCCTCTGGATCCAACTAGAAATGGGGCTCCCATTTCTATTCATAATGACAGCTCTTGTTATTCCCAGCTCTGTCACCCGCTAGGGGTGGGGAGCTAGACCCGGGGATGGGAGGCAGTGTGCAGGAGGAAACCCCAGGAATCCCGGTATCGGTAAAGTGAGGGTGCAAAGAGTTTTCAAAAGAGGGCTGTTGGGAGTCAGATGTCCCTCCCTTTGGGGCATCTTGGGTCAGGAGACTTCCCTCCCTGCACCCTCGTCACCCACCTCATCAGACTATCACAAGTCCAACCCCCTCAGGCGACAGTATGTGTCAGAATAGAACTGTGAGCCAGAGGGTTTTCAATGGCTTTTTCAATAGATTGCCAGGCCTTTCTTCTGAGGAAACTGGCTGGACTAGAACCACTTTTGTTCATTAACAGCCACACATGTTAACAAGTTTCATAACCCAAGGAATAGGGAATAGAATAGGACATTGAAGGTGGAGGGTGGGCTGAGGGGGGGTAGAGAAGACTTAGGGCTGGGAGGGAAAAGGGCAAGATGCCCATATTTCTGTCTGTTCTCCATCCTGCTCCTTGGAGGAAATACAGCAAAATTTTAGTTTCCTGTTAGAACATCCCTGGGGGATGGAGAGTCAGGAGGACCCACTCCTCGTTCCACTCCTCGTTCCCGTCCAGGCAGAAAGCTGACTGTTGCGACTGCTCATCATGGAGCTGGGGCTGGACATGGGGACCTCAAGGTTCTGCCAAGTTCATTGTAGCCAGGGATTGGAGGCTGGACTAGACCGGGAGTTCTTGAACGTGAGGAACCTGGTGAAAGCTATGGACCAATGCCATCTCCTTCTGAAATCACACACATGAACACACAACAGTCGCCCTACAATGGCAAGAGGTTCAGAGACCCCCTGGGCTGAGTGGCAGGCCCCTCCAGTGTTGCTCTTGGAGGGCTGAATCCCTTTTCAGCCTCCACCCTAAAAGCTTCCTGCCCTGTAGACAAATGGACCTCACTCTCGTGAGCCTGAGATGAAGACAGCCAGGTCTTGGGAGGCCTGGAGGCCTGGCAGGAAAGGAGTCTTCTGGGGGCTGGGAGCCCTGCCCAGTCTGACTGCTCACAGGGCCCCCCCAGGCCTGTGTGCATGTGGTTTCCTGCTGAGCTAGAAACCCAGGGGCTAATTGGAAGCAGGTGGTGGGCTTGGCAGAACTGCTGAGTCTAGGTTCTTCAGGGCTAGGGTCCCAAGGACGAGCCTGGGGTCAGACATTCCCACAATCAGTACATTAGACTCCCAGAGAGGTTGACCTGGGTGGGGTGAGGAAAGCAAATCAGGGCTGGTGGGAATTAGGCATGGCCCAGGAGTGAGCAAGGGAGCTCTGGTGGCTTAAGGAGTGGCCCTACCAGTCCAAAGGTGTGTGTGTGTGTGTGTGTGTGTGTGT